CAAAAAGGGGAACATTTTTCATTTGTAGTCACTATGAACAAAATAAACCGTAATGGTTGAAATGTTTCAGCTAATACTTCCAATGCACCTTGAAGAGTTTAGTAATTCTCACTACTTTTCAAGGTAATAGTAAGGATTAATGGTAATTACGTGGAGGAGATAATGAATTAAAGTGTTAAATGTCTAGCTAAAGGTCCAGAGCAATAAAAACAACAGAGACTAGGCTCTTAACTTCCACAGAAAACAACAAAGTTTTCTGAGCTGCAAGAGAGAACTTTAAACCAACACACTGCCAAACTAACGCCAATTGTTAATTGGTTTATATCATATAACACTTGGGGCAAAAAAGAACAGGGTCAAATCCAAAGACCAAAGTCTTATACTCTAAGGAAAAGTCCATGGAGAGAAGGTCATAGCCTCTCCGGTTTACAGTTATCCTTTAGATAAAAGATAAAGGATCTCACTATCATACTGGTGATTACTGGAGGAAGTAAAAATATTATGTAAAATACTTCCATTGTAAATAAATAAGAAGTAAACCTCCTCTTTATACATGTAATAATGAAGAGCTGTGAGAAGCAAATGTATTTATAAGTGCTAGCTATTTTATGTCCCTATAACCCAGATTCAGTACCAAATCCTTGAAATAATTTAAAAATTAAAGCACATTATGGGAAGTGAATTTTAAGTTTTAAAAGCTGAATTCATGAGATATTAATAAAAGACAATAAAAGTATAATACACAAATCTGGAATTTAATGCAAAGAAACAAACAGTACTGCACTGAAATTCTGGGGAGTTTATGTCAAGAAATAAGTTTTATTTTTTTATTTTACTACAAAAAAAAAAAAAAAAGAATGCTGTGTGAGAATAAAGGGACCAATCTAACAAGCCATGTAGTTGTGCTATTACTAGTAAATAATTAGTAACATGCTGATGACTATAAATATTATATTATTAATAGACTCTACCACTTGCTAGGCTCTCACTATGTATCATGTCTATTAGATACATCCTTCATATCTTTGTTGGACAAACAGGAAAACAGTTAAGATTTGTATGATTTTATACAGACAACCTTTTCCTCAATCCTTTAAACAAAAACTTCCTTACGTGTTTCATCAATTAAATAATTTAATGCCCATTAACTTCTTGTTGGGGAAATGTGTTCTGTACCTTGAGTTTTTCTGATAACCTTATTAGACTGACATTGCTTTCTTGTCTCTTCCATGCTCTATATTCTTTTTTTTAAAGAAAGGCGTTGGAGCTAACGTGGTGATACAAGAGGTAGGTATCTTGTCTTGACTATCAAAGGGCCTGCTGCAGAAATTGAGAATATACTAAGCACCTACTTCAACTGACTGTGTCTGGAAAATGCACTCATATAGATCAGAAGCTGTTCATGCTCTTTGGCACAAAAAGGCCTAGTTGTAAACAAAAATCAGTTCTTACTTCCTCCACAACAAAGGTTACCAACACAATTTGGACTGGCCATCTTTTGTTCAATACACAGTTTGCTGGGAGCGGGATCATTGTTTAAACGGCTCTAAAATGAGTTTTGGATTGTGTTTATATATACATGTACATGGATAAACACCCCTAGACAAAGCCTGTGTCCAGTACAAAGATACAACTGTAAAAGAATGGGGAAGTTGAATATATAGTAAGTAGAGCACAAGACTCCTAATTTCACATTTCAAATATATGACTGCAAAAATAAATAAATAAATAAACACAAGTAATTTATCCTAAATTTAATCTGAAAATTCAATCTGTGAGAAAAAAAAAAAATCAAACACCAGAGGCTATATTAATCAGTTATTCCAAGTTAAAGATTAGTTGTAGTCAAACAACATTTTTCTAGATTTAGAAACTTGACTCCTCATTACCCCAATCTTCTAAATACCTCACAATTGTAAAAGCTACTAAGCAAAAACTCTTTGCACAATTATCTGGGACCATAATCACGAGCTGAGAATCAACCCCATAGAAATCATACAGGTAAGTTAACTTCTTGACATTAATGTACACAGATTGCTTGAATTAGCACTAAAGTATTCTCAAGGGAGTAATCCTTAAGCTTCTACAAAAGATTAACCGCAAATAAAACTTGGAATGAAAAACACAATGAACATTTTTAAAAAGTAGAAAATCAAGCAAGCAGAATTACATATAAAAGCAATGGTTAAGGAGATCTATGAGACAGTCTACTTGTAACCATCGAAGGTAATGTCCAATGTCTGCTGGCCTCTCTTCCATTTGGTACTATTTTTAATGTAAATACTATCTTTAACACTTTAACAGATAGTAGAAAACTGTAAGATTTCTTCACAGTATTAAAGAAGCTATTATATCCCTTCATTCAAAAATGACTTTTTCTAAATAAAACACTAAGGGGATAGTCCGGAAATTAAGACTTGGGAATGGATGAAATACATGCTTCTTGAAGAAACATTTTCCTTTTCCGAAGTCATTTCAAGTATTACTGGCTGAAGCAAGACAACAGATAGAAGTTTATTCAGAATGATAGACAAGGAAATAGGTAATATATTGGTTTATTCAAAAGTCTTAATAGGAAACATATATAAGTTGATATATACATCTAAATTTGAGTAAAAATAGTGGTGGCTATTAAAATTAAACTTTTAGCCAGCATCTTAAAAGTACCCAAGAAGGATGAAATGTCTACTAGTATGTTATAAGGGTAACTCCATATTAAGTTAAAATGTAACTTTTATTAGCCAGATTTTTGTAACAAGACTATTCTATTCCATACTGGTGATTACTGGAGATTATTGGAGGAAGTAAAAATACTATATAAAATATTTCCAAATATTACAGTTGACTTTATTTTATAAAAGGTGAAAATATAGGACCAAACTTTTATATTTATTAATCTACTTCCATTCCTAATCTCCACTACTTAAGTCTCTTCCATGGAAGTTGTTTTGACTGCAAGCCTCGTGCCAGGCACCCTGCATGGAGGCATGTTAGATCTCAAAGAGTTCTAAGCAGAGTAAATATTGTCACATACAGCAAACTTTTAATAAACATCTGAATAAATTGTGAACATAGCATTCAATGGATTAATATACAATGAATTCTCATGTTCTCTTTGTTCCTCTTCCCAATCTTCATAGTCATGATGCTATATGAAATATGATGTCAGAGACTATGTCCATTTTTGCTTCCTATAGGATTTCCTTTGCATAGAATAGGCTTTCAATAAGTGTTTGGGGAATGCATGAAAGTTTCCTACCATATGAACAAGTGGGCCATGATTTGACAGTGATCATTGGAATGCTCTTGTGCTTATTGCCAAGGGCAACACAACAGATACAGTACAAAATGCAATTATCCAAATTAATCACTTGTTTAGAAGTATGATCTGGAAGAGTGAATCCTAGGTGTATAAAAGGGACTAAAAGGAAATCTACTATTTCAATAACAAATGAACAGAATTTTAGGAGATTTTCTCTGATTCAGTCAGGATACTGGCATGCTGCTATCACAGAGTGTGGTGACTGCAGGCCTGGCAATTTTTTGTTTTAAAAAGTGCTATTATTAAAAATGACTAGGAAAAGTATGTTATTTCTCACAATTTCTTAGGTAATTACCACTTGACTATATTCAATCAAAAGGGCCTAAATGCCTTTTCATAGGTATGTGAGACGCTTTCATTTTCAAACAGATTTCTGACACATAATGGGAAATAAACAGTTTTTGACTGAATGAAGGAATGAAATAACTTTTAAAAGAAACCTCTTTACTTATAATAAAAGTATATTTAAAAAATAGTCCTTTATGTTTATTTAAAAAAGTAGCCCTTGAGATTTTTAGGATGAACTAAGAATGACAGAATGAGGATAAAATATTTTCTCCAAAAGTATAATTCTTTATTCACAGAGCTAAACTAAAACAAATGAGTTAGAAATAATATTTTAAGATAATTTTCGTGGTAGATTAATGATGTTTCTTTCCTACTGAAATGCAGACCCTGTGATTGCCTTTCCCGTGAATTTGGACTACCTTTATTGACATGTGTCATCAAAAGGTGACAGAAGAGACATTCTTGGACTTGTGAGCCTAGTCAAAAGAATACTTGCAGCTGTAGTTGGCTCCTGGAACATTCTGTGACCCCTGAGTAATCACATAATAAGTCTGCCTACTCTGGATGACCTTGCTGGAGGGGCCACAGGGAGATGCTCCCAGTTCCAGCTGAGATGACATCTCAGCCATTTCCACCACGGTGCTAGATATGTGAAAGAAACAGTTTTGGACCTTCTAGGCCAGCCCATCTCTTAGTTAAATATTAGCAGAAGACCACTTTTAGTGCTTCAAGCAACAGAAAATTCACTAAGCCAAGCCCTTATGCCATCTTCCTGATTCACAAATCATGTGATATTACTAGAACATTCAGAAGTGAATACAGTAAGAACTACCTGAAATAATTTTTACCTATCATGAATCTGTTGACCAACTCATCAATTTCCATCTATGCGTGGAATTAAAAGCTTTCTCAATAGTTAATTCTAAATCATCATATATGTGTACTAACAAAGGCCTCAAGTGAATTCATTTTTCCCAGCAACCTCTATTCTCAGTCATGGACGACTACTTCCCTTGAGGGTTGTTTTTGCCAAGAAAACTTCTACAGTTTGCAATCCTGCTTATTCTTCTCTCCTTTAAGGGCTCTTAGGTTAGATTCTGAACTCTCATGACACTAACAGGTGCACAGTAGTACAAAAAAGTAGAAAGCCAATAAAAAATGAATTGGCCACATACAAATGAAAGCAATTATATTACAAGCAAATCAAAGATACAAACAATTCAAAGAGCTACACTCAACAAGCTAGTCCAGATGGCTCAAAAAACAGCTGGTAAACATGTCCCAAAGGGTCAACTTACCCTTTTAAAATTCTGAGAGTGAGTCTGGAATAAAAAGTAGAATTGTATCTTGAGAATTTAGTATTTATAGCCAGAGAGAAAATCCTGTTTACCTGCAAATCAATACTGTTGTCAATACAACGTTCATTCTTCTCTGCCAAAATCTTCCCATAGTTTTCTGATTTGATAAGATTTTCAACTCTGGTTTTATCTTTCACTTCTGCCTCCAAATCCTTCATTGTTTCAGTTTCATTTTTTACAGTAACAGTATCAGACATCCTCATCAGCAAAGGTTATTTTAGAAGTCTACAGGGAACTTGAAGCCTTAGCAAGAAAGAAAAAAAAATTAATTCAGTTTGAAACATTTCTAAAATTCAGCTACTGTACAATATAGACTGATGCCTTCTATGGTCCAGGAATAATGTTGGTTCCCACAAGAAAGAAGCAAATTCCTGCTTTCAAAGACTACAGAATTTAGTGACAGACATATACAAATAAAAAAAGGTATAATACAATGAGATAAGAGCCTCAGTAAGGGTTTGAGGTGATTCTGATATACATACCACTTTTATTATTTTTTTAAAACTTATTTATTTTTGAGAGAGAGAGAGAGGCAGAGTGTGAGTGGGGGAGGGGCAGAGAGAGAGGGAGACACAGAATCTGAAGCAGGCTCCAGGCTCTGAGCTGTCAGCGAGAGCCCGTCATGGGGTGTGAACTCATGAACTGCAAGATTATGAACTGAGCCAAAGTCAGATGCTTAACTGACTGAGCTACCCATGCGCCCCACACACACTATTTTTAAAGGGTCTTAAGAAACATTAAGGAGTGATCCATATTAAGGTAATGGTTGTAGTTATAAAGGTAAATATAGACGATGTGAGAAATCTTTTTTTCTAAAAGGACTTCAGGAGTATCTTCCTATGAGAAAAATGTATTTCAATTATAGGCTTCATTTAGATTCCTAAGGTTCCAAAATTTAAAAATTATCCTACAATTCCTAAAGGAAATAATTTAAAAAACAAGCAAACAACAATATTCTATACAAAACACAGTTGGTAACACAGTTACCAGCACAGTTGGCATTAATAATCTGCATTACAAATCAAGCATTGAAAACTGTCCTGACATGTGATTCAGTGCCAAACAACACCTATTACCACACTCTAGTATATGGACTCCTCAGAAAATCAAATATGTAAGATGCCAATATATTTCATACCTTTAGACACTTTAAGAAAACACTTAATAATGATATCAAATTGCAATGTATCAGGGACAGCTGTCATTTTTGAACCTGTGAGAAATGTGACTTTGTAGAACAGAACTTGATTGAAATAACTTCTATTTTTTTCTAGTTTTACTGAGATATAATTGACATAAAACAATGTGTAAGTTTAAGGTGCATGACATGATGATTTGATACGTATATATTGTAAAACAGTAACCACAATGTATCACCTCACATAATTATAATCAAATACCTAAACAGAAATTTCAGAAATCCATAAACACATCTGAAAAGGAAAAAAAAAAACAACAAAAAAAGAGGGAGAAATAGATTCTAAAGTCAAAAGTGGACTAAAATGAATTTTAAAAAGTTTTCCTTGGGGGTCCCTGGACAAATCAATTGATTAAGCAATCAACTCTTGATTTTGGTTAAGGTCATATCTCATGGTTCTTCCAAAGATGGAGACCGACGTTGGGCTGACAGCACCTGGGATTCTGTTGGTCTCTCAAAATAAATTAAAAAACATAAAAAAAAAAAGTCTTCCTTAATCATATTACATACCAGAGTTAACTGGCTCATTCTCAAAACAACAAGGTTATTAAGGGGTAGGGTGTTCCATAATAAATATACTGGCTCCTTGCAGTTCCATGTATAAAATTTTAAAAGAAAAAGGGTGTGTTTTTCTTAAGCGATAAGACTGTTTACCTGATGTGTCCTATGGAATTGGGATTGTGGTGTCCCACAAAAATAAAATAAAGTAATCCAAGGTTCTTTTTCACAGTTGTCAGCCAGGATGTCAAGTGTATTGAACCATCTGGAATCTGGCAGGAGGAGTCCCATGTCCTTGTCACCACTGTAGATTCCTGGCCTGAAATGGACTGTTGTGGATCAAATATATCATACCTTTCAGTGGCCTAAAATTAAAACAGAGAAAACGTTTTAAGAAAAAAGCCAAGGGGAAGAACACTACGTAGTAATTTGGAAATAAAAATGTTACTGTTGGTGAATTTATTATTTTCTTGTCCTAAACAAGAGTCAGAATGCTTAGTTACAACTAATTTTGCCATATATTTAGTTTATGAGCCCAAATAAGTCACTGAGGCCACCTAGAGAGTTTGGCAGTAAAAGCAAATGGGAGAAGAAAGCTAGGGAACTAATATATAACAAGAGTTTAGTATGTGGTCAGTGTCGTAAGAGAGGTATTTATTTATTTTATAGATAAAGGCAAAAAGGTTTCCTAAGATTGCAACCAAGAATGCTTAACTCTAAGATGAGTTTTCTTCCAGAGCTACAACTCTATGGATTTAATGGAATACTATAATTTTGAATAACAATCACACTCTAGATTTTTAAGAGCACAAAAGAACAAAAGAGTACAATAAATCGTTTAACATTTTCAAAGAAACTCACATTGTCTGTTAAAAGTAAGTGTCTAAAGGGTACAATGATTATTTGTAAAGACATCTGAAATGCCAAAATCCTATAAATATCATCTGTTTTTTTTAAAGCCTTTTTTAATGTTTATTTATTTTGGAGAGAGACAGAGTGTGAACTGGGGCAGGGGCAGAGAGACAGGGAGACACAGAATCTGAAGCAGGCTTCACCCTCTGAATTGTCAGCACAGAGCCCAAAGACGGGCTCAAACTCACGACCCAAGCTTAAGTAAGATGCTCTACTGACTGAGTCACCCAGGATCCACCCGTGTCATCTGTTTTTAGTCAGTTTCAGTTTATGTATTTATGCTACAAATGAATACATCATAGCAAACAAACAGGCATAAAAATCCCATACTGCTCTTCCAGTTTCCTTTGATAGTTTTGTTGTCTATTAATCAACTGAAAAGTACAATTTTTTTTTAAAATATTTTTATTTATTTCTAGGAGAGAGAGAGAGAGAGAGCGTGAGCAGGGGAGGGTCAGAGAGAGAGGGAGTCACAGACTGAAACAGGCTCCAGGCTCTGAGCTGGCAGTCAGCACAGAGCCCGACGCGGGGCTCGAACCCACGAACCGCGAGATCATGACCTAAGCGAAAGTCGGACGCTTAACCGACTAAGCCACCCAGGCGCCCCAAGAAAAGTACAATTTTAAGGTGAAACAACTGAACAAGGTGTAAGCACCAAGAGAAAGGATGCTAATATTACGAACCATGTGTCATAGAACCATTCACATCTTATACTAGCTCTTCAATAACTACTTTGAAATAGAATAATTTAGAATCCTGATATATAAATTCACTTTAGTTTTCAAATCTCAATTTCACTATGTCTGACTAAGGGATAACAGAAAGGAGGCATCATAAAACAAATGTCAAAGTCATCTGCTAAATGACATTGTCTTCTCTATTTGACTGAGGTTGCTGGGCTACTAAATTCAATGAATGGTTCCTCCCACCCCCACAAAAACCAAACACAACAAAAAATACTTCAATAGAATTTCTCTAAGTTTTAACTTTTTCTCTCATAAAATGGTAGGCACAAGATGGCAGCACTCCCTCAACAGCCAAATTATGTTTTTTGCAAAGTGATTTGTGATTCAGTCATGAAGCCTTTAAATTTGAAATTCTAAAAAAGGCTGTAATCCATTTAAGAAAAAAAAAAAACAATAGCTGCAAGGGTTAATGAATAAGAGGCACAATGTGAAGAGGTAAACACTCAGTTCTGAAGAACCCCAATGAAGCTTAAAGATACCCAGTCTAATCTTTTTTTTTTTTTTTTACAAATAGTTTATTGTCAAATTATTTTCCACATAACACTCAGTGCTCATCCCCAAAGTGCCCTCCTTTATGCCCATCCCCCCACACCCAGTCTAATCTTATAATTTACTACACAGGCTTTTAGCACCTAGAGGTCAAATGACTTGTCCAAAGTCACACAACCAATGTGTATGACCAATCCTAGTCAATATTCTACACCACTTGATAAAGTAAATAAATAATTCTGAACCAAAAAGACCAGTTACTGTTTCCAGGGAAAGAGACAATGATCAAGTGCACTAGCATTATACCAGAGTTTAAATCCCAGCTCTGCCAGTTAGGACTTTGGTAAATTACTAATCTTTGTGAGCCATAATTTTCTGAGCTATAAAGTAGGAAACTGAGTATTTAGCTCATAAACTTACTGGGAAGCTAAATGTTTTAAATGTAAAGCAACCAGGGGAGCCTGGGTGGCTCAGCTGGTTAAGCATCTGACTTCAGCTCAGGTCATGATCTTGCAGTTTGTGAGTCTGAGCCCTGCATCAGGCTCTGTGCTGACAACTCAGAGCCTGGAGCCTGCTTCAGATTCTGTGTCTACATATCTCAGTCCCTCCCCCACTCACCCCTGTTTGTGTGTCCCTTTCTATCTCAAAAAATAAAAATTAAAAGAATTTTTTTAATGTAAATGTAAAGCATCCACTACACCCTCTCCAACAGAGTGCACTCCAAAATATCAGCTCTTAGAATCATTCTAAGTCAGCAGTTGCCTGAGGCTGAGTTTGCTGTGTGCTGGCTGTACTCTGCATGATAGCAGACTGAAAGGAGGCCCTTTAGTGGCTTTGCATACCTCAAGTTTTCCTATTCATATACCCTAGAAAGGTCAAAAGAGGAGAACACTAGTCTGTGTGGATGTGTGTATACCTGAGGAGGGAAATGCTTGCCTGGATGCAAAGCTTCATGTGGCTCTTATTTTAAGCCTTCTAATTTAACATTAAAAATTCACAAAATTCTCGAGGCGCCTGGGTGGCTGTTGGTTAAGCGTCCAAGTTCGGCTCAGGTCACGATCTCACAGCTTGTGAGTTCGAGCGACGAGTCAGGATCTGTGCTGACAGCTCAGAGCCTGGAGTCTGCTTTCAATTCTGTTTCCCTCTCTCTCTGCCCCTCCCCCGCTCACACTGTGTCTCTCTCTCTCAAAAATAAATAAACAAACCTTAAAAAAAATTCACAAAAATCTCCATTCTTCTCCGAATACTAATGCTTTTGTTTTAAATAGAATGTTTTTCCTCTCCAAATCTTCAGATAAAAGAGATATTCTAGCTTTCTGGTACTCTAAAACCAAAGCCGTTTATCTTGGCACAATACCTACACTTCTGGAGTTACCTAACTCTGTATGGGTATGTGGGGAGTCAAGTATAGGGCCAACAAGCTAGGGCTATGTTCTCTGCCAATGCAGTTAGGAGTCAATTAAATGCACCAACCTAAAGTAATAAATTGTTATACAGTAAGTGAAAGTGATTTGAAAATACACATGCATTTGGTAAGTTTCTAAAATAGAAAGGTAACTTAGAGATAGTTAGCAAAATGTTGGCATTTATTAAGTGCATACACCTGAGTACCCACTATTACTGATATTTAAAAATTAAATGTGTCAAAAATCTGTTTCAACCTAAGCGATATATGTACCTAAAATTCATATTCAACTTTGAATAAATGTTCTTGCAATTGCTAACAAGTTATTTATTAAACCAAGTCAGAGATCTGATTCTATAGAATTTCTGTCTCTCAGGTAGCCAGCAGAAGGTAAGTGTCTGTGTAGATAACAAAATCTTCAGAAGCTTATGTATACAAAGGTTGACACCTACCTGGCACAATAGGCAAAAGGGAATCAAAGGTAAAATGAAAGATTGCAACCTAATGAAAGAAATCATAAAAGTACAAGGAAAATTAAGAAATATTTTTATTGTTGGGAGAGGGAGCCCTTACCAAGGATGACATAAAAAATCTAGAAGCTATCAAAGAAATATTAATAAACGTACAATAAAGTTTTAATATTTCAGTATGACAAACTATAACAAAGAAAATAAAAGGCTACATGATAAAATAACTATTTCCAACACAAAAGGATCAAAGTCTATAAAGTAAAGAAGCTTTTATAAATCAAGAGGAAAAAAAAGAGAAGTGGGGACTAGGCAATCTACAAAAGAAACACAAATAATTACCATGCATAACAAATACTAATATATAGCCTATCATATGCCTGGTACTGTTCTACTACCTTTCGTAATTAGTAAATTTAGAGCTCACAATTCCAAGTAAGTCCTGTTATTATCCCTGTTTGACAGATTAGACAACTAAGGCACAGAGAGGATTAAATAATTAAAAAATTTGTCCAAGGTCACCCAGCTAGTAAGCATGGGGACAAGGATATGTATGAATCAGAAAGACAGGTATGCCACTCAAGGCTCTTACCCACAAGGCTCTATTATCATACATATGTATGAAGAGGAGAAACGATTCGTGTTTTTAGAGCACCTTTATTTCAAGAGTACCTGTGTACTAACTCCTCAGCAATGTCTCAATACAAAAAGTAAACATCCTTTTCACATGGATAAGATATGTATTGTTCTTTGGTACACAGGAAGACAGCACTATTAACTTCATATTAATGGTCAGCAAAGCTAATCACTACTGATTTATCAGAACCGCCAGGTAATCATCCAGTTTCTCTTAATTTCAGCATCTCTTGTAATCTTAAGTATCAAGCCATGCAAACCTGGTTGGCAACAAGGATTCAGTTTGGGGCCAAGGAACAATGTGAATCCTAGTAGTTTCCAAATGATAAATAAGCACAGTTATGTTTGTCTTCTTCCTCAAAGAGACAAAGCAGGGCAGAATTAGGATCAACATTTAAAAACGCAGACCAGTATATGCAATCCATGAATGTGGAGTTTCTTTGGTGAAAATTTCAGATAGGATTTTCAGCAAAAAAAACCGCAAAACTGATACTGTTAGGTCAAAGCATGACTTTATCATGCCTAGTCCCTAATGTTTGATTTGATAGCACAAAAGAACTGAAAACTTAGGATTAAAAAGTTTACTTTTACACAATGAAAATCAGTTTATTCTAGGTTAACAAAATATCAAAAAATCATTAAAGTTAATTTTTTGTGTGGTGAAGAAATGTGGCTTCTACAGGTAAAAATTAAGTACTCTCCCCTTAAGA